TATTAACTGTTATATTTATTTGATCAGCAATTAATATAAATGTATTTGACACACAGGGCCACTTACAAACACAGGACACATATGCAATTAGCACTAGCTCTAGCAAGGCGGTCCTTTTTTTCGAAATTATTTTTGAAGTTCTTTAGCGACGGTAAGTTCTATACTGATATATTACATCTACATATAAACTTTAACGATACTAGTATTTGACAGTATGCATAATGATTTGTATGATTATAATATTATCACTGTACATTTATGAATATTTTTTAAGCAATAGTTTACATATTTTGAAAATTAAATATTTTATGATACAAAATATTGTTATATATTTTATTTCTTTCATTCTCTGTATTTTATTTGTGATTAGTATTTATATATAAAAGAACTCATGAACTTCCTATTATTTTTTAAATAAAATTTTCAGATTAATCTCATTGCGACGCCTCTTTTGAAATGGAAGATAAACAAAAACTAATTTCAACAGTTCTAGCTCAAACCTTAATTTTACTGGATGACTTTTTGGATGACACAGAATGCAATGTTGAGAACTTACAGGAAGAACTTTTATTTCTTTCGCGTATAAAAAGGCCAATTCCTCGTTTAAAAAATTATGTTGAAGAAATAGTTCCGTTGTACAATGACGAACAATTTAAATCACATTTTAGGTGTGTATAATAATAATTTTACATATACTTTTTACAGTATGTTTAAAAAAAATGTTTAATTGTATATGTCATATATATACTAAATATATGTATATATTAAAATATTTTTATTTTTTTAAATGAACACTATTAATTTTAGAATGCGGCGATCTACATTTAATTATATATTACATCTTATAAAACCTTTGTTATTAAGATCTAAACCAGGTAATAAACAAATAACGCCAGAAAAACAGTTTCTCGTTTGTATATGGAAAATGGCAACACCTGATTCATATCGGTATGTCTAATTAAATTATTTATAGTTTATAGTATATAGAAAAGTATATACTTTATAGTATACAGTTTATATAAATGAGTTTTAATGAGTTTTAGTTTCTAATTGTTAGATAAATTTAGGTACTTAACTTAAGTAATATGCACACACAGGATTTTTATTTTATACTCTTATTGTTTATAGATTTATATGTGAAAAATTTAATATTGGAAAAGCAAGTGCATTGCAATGTGTAAGGAGAGTTACAAGAAGTCTTGTAAAGCTTGCTCCAATTTTTATCACTTGGCCACAAGGTGACAGAGTACAACAAATTTTTGAAGGATTTGAGACAGTTAGTGGATTTCCTAAAATAATAGGAGCAATTGACGGTACACACATTAACATTAAAGCACACCCAGGATCGAACATGAGTGTTATATTAATAGAAAAGGGCATCATTCAATACAATTGCAGGTAATTTACTTTAATTAATATATAAAGAATATGTTAATATAAAATCTAATATTTATATTTTAATTTGTAAAATATATATATTTATAATTATTTATTATTTTTTTCAATAGGGTATATGTGATCATGAACTACGTTTTATCCATTGTTTTGCTGGAAACGTCGGTTCTGTTCACGATCAAAGAGTGTTTCGTTTATCTGAAGTATATGAATATTTAGAAGATCCACGTAAGTTTCCAGATGATTCTCATTTAGTAGGCGACGCAGCGTATTCCATCCATAATCATTTGATGACACCTTATCGAAACAACGGACATTTAACAAATAAACAAGAAAAATACAATAACTGTCACTCTTATGCACGGATAGCAATTGAACGAGCGTTCGGATTACTTAAAGGAAGATTTCGGAGTTTGCTCACTGTCCTTGACATGGGACGTACAGACTGTATACCAG